TCTCCCCGCGTCTGGGCACCTTTCAGCCTGAACAGAGTAGGGAAGGCAGTGAAGGGGAGGCTCTGTCCCGGTACCCACCAGGCTAAGGGCTCCATCTCACCTCCAGTCATGGCGGCCATACAGGTTAGTGAAGATCCGGTCTTCATCCTTCAGTGAGCCAAATGAGGTTTTCTTGGGCGCTGTCTATGGACACAGAAGGTCAGGAGGCCCAGAGAGCTCTGGGGTCATGAAAGGCCAGGCCAGAAGCTATAGATCCTTGGGTCCCACTGATCAGAGGGGGCTGGGCTGAAGAGAAGGTAGGGGCCTAAGCCTCAGGTGTCATAACTACCACCACCGCTTAGTAAGCACTTCCTGTTTGGCAGGCACTAGGCTAAGTATTTTACATTCGAAACCACACTTCATCCTCATAACCCTGAGACAGGCATGATTTTACAGAGGAGGAAACTGAGGCTCAGAGCAAAATGAACATATGGAAGGGCTTAGAGCCAAAAACAGCCAATGGAACTTGAGCTCAGGTGTGTCTGTGACCAAAGCCCACATCTGAACCACAGCACCAACTATCTTCCTGAGCCCAGTGCGATGTCATGTCCACTTACGTGTCTGGCTGTCCTGCTGGACTGAAACTTAATTAGGCCAGCACCTTATAGTACTAACTCTGAAGGCAAAATGCTTTTACTGATGGAAAAGACATGCCTCACTGGGGCTGGGACACAAAAGTGATTGAGAGAGACCCATCTGGGGAAAAACTGATGAGAAGAGGTGGAGCCTGCAATGCCATATAATCCAGGGGTGACCCCGACTGAGGGCTAGGGCAGATTGGCTTCTAGACTTCCATCGCCTTAAAAGCCACTACGGGTAGCAGAGCTCTGGACGGGGAATCGGGAGGCGCACATCCCTCGCCAAAACTGTTTTCTGCATCTGTAAAATGTGGCAATGACACATTCACGCCCCACAAAGCCACGGCAATGAGACACGGGCGCTTCGCCACCTGCAAAACTTCCCGCCAGGCCGCGGGACCGTTAAGGAAGGGAAGCCAAGGAGCCGGGGGGTTGGCGCGGGGAGAGGAGTCAGTCTCTTACTGGAACCCTACCTTCTACACCCTGGTCGGAGAAGCAACCTTCCTGCCGGCCTGGGGAGATGAGGAGGATTCTCTAGGAGGCATTATAGACTCAAGAGACAGCAGCCGCAAAGACGCAGCAGGGAGACCCGCCCGCGAACACCCCTGGCTCCAGCCAGGCCGGGACTCACCGTGTCGCCGCTGAACCGTACAGACACCCGCGCGGGGAGAGACCCGCCGAGCAGCCGCCGTGCCGCCAGCATCGCGGGAACCAGCCCGGTCACCTCCTGCTGTCACCTTCACGTCTCTAAGGCAAGAGGAACTGGCGCGACCGAGACGCTAGGCGGCGCACAGGAAGTACATCACGCGCCCCGGCGGCGACGGCCCCGCCCCCTGGCGGAAGTGACTGTCTGCCGCTGAAGCTGCTGGGAAATGTAGTCCCACCGGCATCCGGCCTTCCTGCCTCGCGGCGCCCGGCTGGCGAGCGCTTGCTCACTGGCATAACCGCCGGCCCACTTCCTTACTCGCCTGCTCGGCTTCTTCGCGTTCGCTTCCCGGCCCCCAGCTTTTCAAACTTCAAGTAAACCTCGCATGTCGCTTTCTGCCGGGTTCTGGTGTTTTCCACTTTCTACGGGTTCAGCATTTAATGTGTACCTGCTGTATGCACACGTGTATGGGGGAGGAAGAAAAATCAGGCTGCTTACAGCCCGACCTTCGTGACTGTTCTGTCCCAGTCCAAGCCCTCCTAGACGGTGATCCCCCGCAGCCCTCCCTACCCTGCACCCCCGCCCCTGGGCAGTGGGTGGCACATCCTCTCTCAGTCGCTGCTAAGCTCTCCCAACCGGTCCCTCCTCACGCGGGGAGAGGCTGCCACTTAGCGGTCCTGCTCAAAATCCTGGCGTGGCTCCAACTACCTTCGCAATGGGGCCCTGGCCTGGCATTTAAAGACTCCGCCCCTCCCCTGCGGGGTCATCACATCACGTCCCCTCCCCCCGGGACCCCTTCCTCTTGGGGCTTTAGGGCATTCGTGTGTCGGCCCTCCCACCACCGGATGCTCCTCTGACCTGAGGAGGTGCTCTGTCCTTCGCCTTCTCTGAAGCCTTGGAAGCGCGATTAAGTCTTGTCTTCTTTAGTTCTCTGGAGCCCTCCCGCTCAGACCTTGCCCTGGTCCAGATGTAAGTGTCCTTTTCGGTCTTCTCAGCTCTTCTGCTCTCTCGCCCTGTAATCATTCTTGCGTATCTCTCAAGAAATGCGCGTATCTCTCAAGAAATGCGCTGTTTACAAAACTCATTTGCCTTTATTTTCTTATGTACTGCCACAGCAGCCCTGGATGGTGTTCATTCCATTCTATACATGAAACGAATTGAGGCCCATGGGTTTCATCCCTTGTCCATGCGCATCCACTTGGAGCTGCCCGGTGGTAGAGCCGGACTCAAACCCAGGCCTTTCTTTCTTCCCAGAGTTCCCCCCACAGGGCAGACCCACAGAACAATCAACACACGTGTGACAGTCATCGTGGGATGTCAGTGGTATTTCCAAAGAAGGCACCAAAAGCATCACACCTTGTCTGAGGTCTCACAGGTGGGTGGAGCAGTGCCAGGCAGAGGGCCCGGCAATCCTTGCTTCCAGCCCTGGCCCCCTCTCCTGGGTATGGAAAGAGATTGCCCAGACACAGCTGGGGATTACACAGCTAATCCTGGGCTCAGACCTGAGTCCATAGATCTCTCCTTCTGGGGTGGGAGAAGGCGGGCAGGATGGAGCCAGAGGGTGGAGTCCTTCCTCATCCCTCTCTAACTGGGTCAAGGGAATGCAAGGCTCTGGGGAGAAGGCAGCCTGGGGATGCTGTGGACGGGAGACAGCTGGGAGTGGGGTGATGAAATGGAGAGTGAGGGGCAGGATCTATCTGTTCACCCAGTGCCGGGCTCTGTGCCAAGTACTTGCCATGTATCATCTCCTTAATCCTCCTGTAACCCGAGGCTTGGGAATGATGAGCTTTTGTTTTCAGAAGAGGACAGTGTATCAGTGACACTGAGTGGCCTACCCAGGATGGCACAGCTGCCAGAACTCTGCCTGAGGTTTCCTGATCCTACATCCCCCACTCTGTCCCCACCTACCAGGCTCCACTCCATGTCACCTCCCAGGAAGCCCTTCTCTGAAGCGTCCCAGGCTCTCACCTCTCTCACCCTCTGCACCTGCTCCGTCCTACGTCACCGTCCACATCTGCCTCCCCCACCAGCTTCTGGGCCAGAGTGGGGAGGCGTCAAGATCCTCCGTCCCCAAATCCACTGCATCCTGTCTTCTGAACACCCCCAGTCCCTCTGCCTCAGGCCCCGCCCCATGACCATGGCCCCTCAGCTTTCACCTGAAATTTTGCAAAGCCTTCTCAAGGTCTCCCAGTCCCACATCTTGACCCCTCCAGTCCCTTCTTGGCACCCTGGAACAGTTATAAACCTCAAATCCACTCTGCCTGAGATGCTTCGTGATTCCACAGTGTCCTCAGGACAAAGCCCTAGCCACTTGGGCTGGCATTCAAGGTCCTGTGCCTCTACCTCCCCAGCTCCAGCTCGGATGGCTCTGCCACGCAAGCTAGGTTTGCACTGGAGGACCCTCCTTCCTTCCCTTCCTCTTCCTCCTCCTGAGAAGCCCTCTGGATGTCACTTCCCCGGGAAGCTTTCTGCCACCGCTCCATTCAACTGTCTTGAGCCACAGGTCCAGTGTGAGTCGGGCATGATGGGATCTTGTCTCTTCTCTGACACCCAGCACAGAGCTTCTCAAGGGAGGCACTCAGTTTTAACGGTCATACCTACATTTCTTTCTCCACTAAAAACTAATTAATGTATCTATCCTCCTGCTAAATATGAAACAAACACAAAAACAGGATCTCCTCCCTCTGGACTTCCTTCCCTCCCAAATCCTACACTCGGGTTTTCTGGGCTGGCTCTGTTTGTCACCTGACAGGGAGGACAGTTCTGGCCCCCCGCTTCGTTCTGCTGGAAGAGACCTGGCCTCAGTCACAGGGGGCTCTCGGCATTGTTCTCCAGAGCTGGACACGGACTGAGGACCTGGCCCCAAGCCCTGTGCATTCGGCCTGACTGTGTTCCTGTTCTCCGGCTGGAACGCAAGGCTTCGGCTCACGCCCCAGGCTGTGGGTTTCTTCCTATTTCTTTCCTTCAGAGGGAGGTTTATTTCAAGTCTGCACACAATTCCCCTTTCTATTTCCATGTGGCTGAGACTTCGTTACGAACAGTTCCTTCTCTGATTTTAATGTGTTTGAGAAGGACAACGTGGATTTCGGATTGTACTCTGCTATCTTGACCTGGAAATCTCTCTTTTTTTCCTATTAATTGAAGCTGGAGAAAGTTAAATTGGATCCGTCACGGTCGGTGGAGAATACACAGGACAAGGTGAGAGCGTCCGGGGAAGCAACGCGACCATGACTCTGGCCAGGCCTCCCTTCTGCCCCCCAGCACCGCGCGCCCTCGCGTCCTCTGCAGACTCTGTTCTTGGCACGAGAAGCAGTCTCTGTTAGCCGGCCGGTGTCTCAGCGTCCCTCCTCACCTTACGCTGGCCCTGAAGCACTGGACACGGTCTGCAGTCGCCATCAGGGAGGACCTGTGAGGTCTCGGTTGGGCACAGGTCCCAAACGCCAGACCATCTCCCTTGCCCCACGCATCCTGGCTCCTCCCTGCAGCAGCGGGCCCATGTCTACCCAGGAGATCGTGTCTGGGAGCCTGGAGTGTCTCTCTCCGCGCTGGCCCTTTGCCCACTCCCACGATGCCCCGTGGAATCCTTCCTACGTCCCTTTTGTCCCTTAACACAAAAGCTCGTCTACTCTTTTTCATCTAGTGTAGCCCTTGATGGCTATTTGGGACGACAGTCAGAGAAAGCTTACACGCCCCTTGACTAATCCCAAACTATCAGAAACCTGGGGCTCATCTTCTCCAGAGTTCAGCTTTTAGAAATGCCAGCCCTAGTTTGTAAATCAGCTCAAAACAAAACAAAACCCTGTGGAATGTTTATTATTAGGAACAGGTTGAGCTCTTTGTTTTCTGTCACATGTCCTTCCTCCCGTGACCGCTCTCCACCTTACAAAGACTTCCTTCCTCCCAGTATACAAAACTCGGAGCCACAAAAGACATGTGGAGGGGACCCCATCCCTGCAACGGGTCATGACACCACAGCCAGTATTTATGGCTTCCTTTCGCCTTCGTGAATGCCACACTCCCTTGGCCTCCAGCCAGCACCTCAGCTGCTCAGGGAGCTTGACCAGCTGGGGTGACTTAACATCATGGAGATGTCACATCTCTCCAAATTAAACTGTAAACTCACTGCATATTCCAATCAAAATCCCATCAAGGAAGCTAAGCAGGGTCGAGCCCGGTTAGTCCTTGGATGGGAGACCGCCTAGGAAGACCAGGTGCCGCAGGCGTAAAAAATTAAAAAGCAAGGGATCGTAAGCTGATAAGGTCCTTGCCATCTGTGAGGTCAACCAAGGGTTGCCACGCCTAAAAAAAAAAATCCATCAAGGCTTTTCACAGAATTGGGAAAACTGATACGAAAATATAGATAGAAAAGCAAAGGGCCAAGAACAGCCAAGCCAAATTTGAAGAACGAAGTGGGGGTGGGAGGGATCGGCCCTGTCAGATAATTACATAGCCAGAGCAATCAAAGCAAGCAGACCGTTATTTCCCACATATGATGGATGTTTCTTTATCACGATAGCCTGGAAGTTCTGCAGTTTCGGTTTCGATTTCTTCTTTGACATGAATCATTTTAACAGATCTATAAATGTACTTATAAATATTATAAGTTCATAAATAGTATAACTGTAGACATTAGAGCCTTTTGTTTCCTGGTTTTGTTATTTATGTTTGTTTGTTTTAAGGTCTTACCATGAGAGACTGTTGTCTGGACTATTTCTCTTCTTCTGGAATGTTCTAAAACTTTCTCTGAGGCTTAATAGATGGTTATTGTAGTAAAGTCCCAAGAGCAGTTGAAGGGATGGTGCCTTCTCTTTTTTTTTCTGTTGTAGAGTTTGAAACCTGTTATTTCCAGCTGCCAAAATTCTTGTCTTCTCATTAGCTTTTACTTTATAAATGTAGGGGGTTGGGTGCATAGAGTCTCCTACTTATGAGAGATGGAGTGTGTGTTTTGGTTTTTCATGGTCTGTGTGGATTTGAGGGGATTCTGAAAGATTAGTGAGGAGGACAATTCCAACATTATAAACCACGGGTCTTCCCCAAAACCACACCAGATGTTGAAAATATTTCCTTTGAGTTTACCATCTATCTGATCATCTGATAAGCAATAACCATCATTATACAAGAGAGATCCTTAGTTTGGGTGTGTAGTCAAGTTCATTCATTTGGGGACTTGTTAAGAAATTCATCCCTAGCCCAAGGTCAAAACAAAGTCCCTCCCTTTTTTTGTTGTTGTGGGCAGCTCTCCTGTGCATTGCTGGATGTCCTGCAATACCCCACAAACTGCGACAGAAATGCCTCCAGACATGGCCAAGTGTAATCTGGGGGACAAAATCACCCCCCAGTTGAGAAAACACTAGTTGGAGTTCTTTATTGTCTATGGGGTGAGGTAAGGATCCAGTAATTTTTCTCAGTATGGTGACTCACATCTACTAATACCAAATAACTCCTTTTCAAACTTATCTATGATGCCACAGCTATTACATAGCAAGTTCCTGCATATGCTTGGATCCGTCGTATGTAGTAGACATTGACTGATGTCACAAACTCTCCTCTTCCTGGGCACAGAGCCCCCTTTGCATCAAAATGGGGCAGAAGAGGAGACTGTCACTTCCAGGGCTGGGCAGCTGGGAGCACCCCCTTCTGAGGACACCTTGTCAAGATATGGATCTGGGGCTTGAATGAGCTCACCGAGGCTGTTCTCACTCAGGGTCTCCTGCGGCCAGGGGAGCAGCTAGAGCCAGGAATTGAGGCAGGACAGGGCAGTTCCTCGAGTGGGGGCGGGGGGACCAAGCCCCGCCCCGGAGAGCATAGAAAGAATTCAAACACATTCCAAAGCTAGAGTCAAAAGGGAAGTTTATAAAAGGGGAAAGCACAGACAAAAAGTCAAGACAAGGAACAGAAGCCCCGAGTGTCAGGGGATCCAGTTCGTATACCATTCTTGAGTTCCTGTGAGTTACAGAGTCTTTGTTTACCCGTTTCCTTTGATGTAGACAGACAGACAGGATGGAAA